AGTCCTGCTGGAAAATGAAGTCAGCATCCCCATAAAGCTCATCTGCAGAAGGAAGCATGAAGTGCTCCAAAATCTCCTAGTAGACAGCTGCGTTGACCCTGGACTTAATGAAGCACAGTGGACCAACACCAGCAAATCAACACAGACTGTGGAAACTTCACACTGGACTTCAAGCATCTTGCAGTGTGTGCTTCTCCATTCTTCCTCCAGACTCTGGGTCCTTGGTTTCCAAATGAGATGCAAAAGTTGCTCTCATCAGAAAAGAGGACTTTGGACCACTGAGCAACAGACCAGTTCTGTTTTCCTTTAGCCCAGGTAAGACGCTTCTGATGTTGTTTGTTGTTCAGGAATGGCTTGACAAAGAGGAATATGACATTTGAAGCCCATGTCCAGGATCCGTCTGTGTGTGGTAGCTCTTGATGCACTGACTCCAGCCTCAGTCCACTCCTTGTGAAAGTCCCCAACACTTTTGAATGGCCTTTTCCTGACAATCCTCTCCAGGCTGCAGTCATCCCTGCTGCTTGTGCACCTTTTTCTTCCACACTTTCCCCTTCCACATAACTTTCTATTAATGTGCTTTGATACAGCACTTTGGGAACTTCCAACTTTGTTTGCAATTACCTTTTGAGGCTTTCCCTCCTTATGGAGAGTGTCAATGATGGTTTTCTGCACAACTGTCAGGTCAGCAGGAACTTCCGGTTTGCAGGTTTCGGCAGCGGCAGGGATTCGCGATACTGCGTGATCCCTGCTGCGTTCGCCGTCAAGGTTCCCCCGATCCGTTTGGATCTGGGGGATATAGCTGCCCCGTAGAGGCAGCTGAAGATAGGGGGGATCCAGACAGGGGTTTGGGGGCATCGCAGACCCCCTCCCCAGCTGGCAAAACCCCCTTTTCCCAAGACGGACGAGCGGCGGTCAGTAATGGCCGCCACGAAGAAATCTACAGCCGGACAAGCAGGTGCAGGAGGGAGAAAGCTGGAAGAGTAATGAAAGTTGCTTTCAACTGGGACAAGGCAAGAGAAAGTGCCCTGAATCTCGAAGGCTGCTAAGGATACATTGTTCCTAGTAAGAGTTATGAGCTGCGATCATTCTAAAAGGGAAAGTTTTTTTTTTCTTTCGTTTCACTCTCCTTCCTAACGTGACAGCAGATGGAAAAAATCTTCTTGGCTGTGAGTGGGAAGGGAGAGGGGGAAAAAAAATTGGAGCATTTGAAAATAAGGAGAAGATTGCCTAGATTTTTAAAGAGTTACTAAACACCAATAAGACTTCTAAAAGATATATTTTAAAGGGAATTTTGTGACTAAACTTTAACCCCAGAAAGAGAAAGTGAAGAAGGAGAGAGTATTTAAAAGAAACAACCTGTTTGGATTGTTTGGTGATTTTGGAACTTCTGAGAATTATTTCTGATTAAAAGCACTCGGGTGGTTGTTTGGGAAAACTTTTTCTCTGCACAATGGCATCACTTGTGGATGGACTGAAACTTGTATACCAAAAATATGAAAAAGAAAAGCAAGAAGGGAAAGATGTCCTTGGCACTCTTTTTCAATTTTTAGAAATGGCGGTTTGTATTTATGTAAAGCTGAATGAGCAACAGGATAATGGGGACAAAGAAGAAGCCATCTTTGATGAACAAATAACTTTGGTCGGAAAAGGGAAAAAGAAAGAGAAAAAGGAAAAGAAGACTTTAAGATCTGGAAAAGCAACCCAAGAAGAGAAGAGCAAGGTGAAAAGGGGACATTATGTTAGGAAACAACAGAAAGGGGGAAAGCAGAATAAAAGGGAGGTGGAGAGACAAGGGGGTAAAGAGGACAGGGAGAAGAAGAAGCAAGGGAGAAAGGAAGGGATGAGAAGCCTTAATGGTGGGGAGCAAGTTGTAAAGAAGAAAAAGTTTTTTAGAGATAATGGATAATTTATTGAAAAAGGGATTCTAGAAAGGTACATAAGATTGCATTTCTATATTTGTATTTAGAAATAACCATAGAAAATTAGAAATAATATGTAATTTAAAATGCGATAAAATATTTAGTATAATTTAGTGAAAATTTTGTTAAGAGAAGGGGAGTACTGTAATGGAACAATGATTTAAGATATGTGATGTGGGGGGGGGGGGAATAATTTTGGAAAGCATAAGTGTTCCCACAAAGGCATGATATTTAACTGAAATGGGTAAAATGTTCAAGATATAAATGATTGATAATATTAATGATTAGACTATGTTATTCTAGTGAAACTTTTTGTGAAATGAGAGATTTGAAGTAGGAGAAAGGGGAACATTGTAATGAAATAATGATTTATAATATGTGACGTGGGGGGGGATAACTATGGAAAATAGGTGCTCCCATAAAAGTATGTGATTTAACTGAAAAATAATGTGTTAAATGTTTAAGACATAAATGAATATCAATATTAATGAATAGATTTGTATTGGTTTTGATAATACTGTATAATTTTAGAACGTACCAGACAGAATCCCAATGTAAGTTATGTGTTTTATATTAAGTATTATAAATATGGGGGAAAGAGATAAAGGCATCATATTCCATTTAGTGTACAGGAGAAGTTTTTTTTTTTTCAAAGAAGAAAGATAAATGGATAGTTGGAAATAGAACAGACAAAGAATAATAAATATTATGATTCGAATTGAGAGGAGATAAATAAAACAAAATTGAGAAAATTTAAAAGAGAGGAGAAGTTATATAGAAAATTGAAAATGCTAACAAGATATGGAATGGTATATAAAATGAATATGAATTTGAATTTGTGTCTGTATCAAGAGTTTTAACCCGGGACTAAGCAACTTTCAGAAAAGAGATTTTTTATGCTTTTATGTTTTGTGTTTCTGTGTATCTATATTTTGTATGTCTTTAAAAATCAATAAAATTTGTCCAAAAAAAAAAAAACTGTCAGGTCAGCAGTCTTTCCCATGATTGTGATTCCTACTGAACCAGACTGAGAGACCATTTAAAGGCTCAGGAACCCTTTGCAAGTGTTATGGCTTAATTAGCTGATTAGAGTAGGACACTTTGAGCCTAGAATATTGAACCTTTTCACAATATTCTAATTTTCTGAGATTGTGGATTTGGGGTTTTCATGAGCTGTAAGCCATAATCATCGCAATTATGACAAATCACAGCTTGATTTATCTTGCTTTGCATGAAATGAGTCTATCTCATATATTAGTTTCACCTTTTAAGTTGCATTACTGAAATAAAAGAACTTTTGTATGATATTCTAATTTTTCACCTGTATATCGGCTTAGAGAAAATTAAGGATAATAATGATGTGTAATGTAAAACAAAATAGGTGGTAAGCTGAAAATGGAAATAATAGGGGATAAAAAATTGATGAAATGATATTGAATCAATGAACTGAAATATGAAATGCAAATTTATTTAAAGATGAGTGAAATGGATAATAATATGAGCTGATATTATATAAGATTAATGAAAATGAAAGTATGACTATGTACAAGTGTTATAATCTGGAAACATGTTGCTCACGTGAAAATATGTGTAAAAAAAATTTTAAAAAAACTTTTTACAAAAAAAAAGAATTAGAGAATAGGAGTTTGGTTTAGTTTCCCATAAGGAAATCACCTCATGGCAAGGAGAAAGGCGTTAGAAAAGGATGATGGAATCTTAAAAACTAGGAGGAATATTGGAAAGAGGAAGTATATTTTAGAGGGAAGAGGTGGAATGGCTGGTAACCTAAGATGGATATACGTTGATCATTGGCTTTTGAAAAATGTGTTACTTATTAAAGAGCAATGTTGTCTGGAGATTGAAATGAGCTCTACAGTTCTACTGTACATTAGGAGTACTAGTTCAAGGGGAGCGAGAAATGGAGCAGTGAACAATTCAGACAGGTGTGCTGAAGAAAGGTGCAGATTAGTGTGAGAGAGCATTCACTCAGCAGGTGGTGTCAAAGGAGGGAAGAAGGCCATGCTCTACCAATCAAATTGATGCTAGACCGAGAGAGACCAATGGTCAGTAACACAATATCATTTGTTCAGTATCTTCAATCTTTTCTGAAGTCTACTTAACAGTCTTCAGAAATAGAACATATAAATTAAACCAACTTTATAGAGCGCACACATAAGCTATTAGAAAACATTTAAGCTGCATGCTTATCGCACAAAACAGTTCCCTCTCTTCAACACAAGATGTGGCTTCAGTGCTTTTCTGTTGATTATCATTATAAACAGGCAAGAGAAGCTATGAGAGTCCAAGTTGACATATCTAGTTATAAATTACATGAGAAACTAGATTGGAATAACCAAAAGGAAACACCTAATTGGAACACTTATACTGATTTTTCATCAAAGCATTAGAACCCATAAAAAACCATGACAGCTGTTTCAATAATAACAAAGCTCAAAGCAGGAAATAAAGAAGAAGAAGAAAGTGTAAGGCAAAGATAGATAAAGACAAAACAAGTGTTGAAACACATCTCCTTTGTATTTATGTTGGAATGTTGCCCACAAACACCTAAGGGGTAAAGCTTGTATTATGATATCACAATACGTATTTCCTAATTTTGACAAACCATACAACTGCTGAGGAGATTTGTAATCTGTAAATTAGCACTAACAATCTTAATTTTATAGCAACAGGGTTTGTTACTTTAAAACTGTGGTAGGTCTGGCCCCATAACAGACTGAAAAACTTTTTGTTTTTTTGCCTCATCCTGGCTTAGCATTGAAATTTTAGGATCCTATTATAAGTCTATTGAAAACTAAAATTCATGGCACAAGAAAAAATTCATGGCCACAGAAAAAAACAAGCAATTGATATTCTTGCTCTTAAAAATGAAATTTCCTTAGATAATCTATTAAATGAAAGCCCTGTTATCTAAAATATTACACTATTAAGCTAATTTCCTCAAAATTAAATTCTAACATAAGTCTAAAGACATCTTAGAATATATGAAATAATACTTAAAAAATTAAAATATCAAAAATGTACTTTTAATTTTTAGTAAGAATTCAGACTGTCAAGTCTTACCTTTGATGCCATTCTCATGAAAAGCTTATTTTGATCCTCTGATGTACTCATCTTTTCATTCCTGATCAAATCCTTCAGGTCTAAATTATCATCATCTTGAAAATATCGGATTCGTTCCTTATCCACATGAGTAGGTATCTAATAATCAATATAAAAAAAAACAAGATTGCTGATATGATTGTCAACTGATTTTAAAACAAACCCATGAAAAATGTTATGAATCGTGCTATCACAAACCAACATCTGAAATTACGTGTAGTCATTGACTTATGATCATTCGTTTAATGATGGTCAGAACTTATGATGGTGCTGAAAAAACACTTACAACCTATCCTTGAAGTTGTGACTATTGCAATACCCTCAGTCACATGATAATGATTTAGGCATTTGGCAACTGGATCTCTTTTAAGACAGTTGCAGCATCCTATGATAACATGATTCTAATTTGCAACCTTTCCAGCCATTTCCCAACAAGCAAAGTCAGTGGGGAAGCCAGCTGGAAATGTCTCACTTAATGATCATGATGATTCACTTAACAATCATGGGGGGAGAGGGGAAGCCATAAAATTGGGTGTAGCCACTTAACTATCGTGCTGTTTAATGATGAATTTTCTGATCCCGCTACAATCATAAGTTAAGGACTTCTTGTTCAGAAACTCAGTTTCAATAAAATGTAAATTGATAGAATGCATGAAGTATAAAATATAACTTTCTATTTGGTATAATCAACAAAATGGGCATCTGGAAAAAGCTGTTCAAAATTATAGAAAACCATATTAAAAATATTTTTTCTTAGAACATTTTTACAAATGCATCATTCCTTCAAAAGGAAAACAAAAACAGGGATGTATAAAACATCTCTATCCAAAATGGACTATTTCCAACCATTGAAACACCTTGTTCCTTCACAAAACAGCTCAAGAAAATGTTTAAAGGTTGAAACAGGCATTTCAAATCTTGAACCTTTGGAAAGTTCCAAGAGGAAAACAAATAAAGTCTTCATTCCCCTTATTGATGAGCTGATATGAGCTCTACTATTCCACAGAAGTCATAATAAAAGAGATGAAGGAAAGTTTTGATGACATTTTAGAAATAGCTAAGAATTTGCTTTTTATGGTATATGAACTTCAAGGTCACTATTGCTCTAGTGCCACCTCACACAAGATATGTTCAGGGAGTATGAACTAATGAGATGTCTATATATTATTTTATTAATATACATCTATACTAATAAGAAATATATATATATTTAAAACACCCACCATTTGATTCTTCCTCCTTCTGCCTATATGATCCAATGTTTCTTCTGGAATATTAACAGGCCATGCTCTGCCAGATTTATCAGTTCTGACCAAGATCGCTTCATGGTCTTCTTGAAAACCAGTTTTCTATATTAAGACATTAACAAAAAACAGAGAGAGTTAACAAACACTGAAGCAGGTGTTGCACCTTAGTTTATAAGCTCAACAACTGTTATACACTAAATTTGCCATTTAAACAGAACTGATGAAATCCAGAATTCAAAACAATTTTTTCTACTAAAATAATTATAGAATTAAGCTCCTTCCAAGAGAAAAAATTATACACTTTTAGTATAATTTCATTCACTAAGTGCTGATATTATAAGTAAGTTTGAAAATATTTTAACTTACTAGACATGTATTGTACACATTATTATTCCTTATAACCTTTAAAAGATCGAACAGCATTTCATCACACTTCAAAGCTACAGACTAGTTAATATAGGCCAGGTGTTTTTGTGATTGACATGAAATGTTACCTTGAGCTGATGAAAAGTGTCATGGAAACCCAAAACTATAGCCCTATCAAAGCCCAACCAATCTTGGTAATATATGCCAGAGTTTTGTGTTCATCCACTATCATATGATATTTACTGTGGAGGAAAAAACTAATCCACCACTCTCTACTCAGTGTGGGATCGAGATTAGGACTAAGAGAGAGTCCAGGGACATTCAGTTACTGTCCAGGGGCCTCTAGTCCCCCATGCTTTAAACATTATACCAAACTGGCTTTTAATTTAATGTGCAAAGCCAGTCAAAGTTTCCTTCCCACCCCACCTATGAAAATTAGCAGGAGTCAGATCCTTTCCTTAATCTTTAACAACATTTGCAGGTATGACAAAATGTTGTAACCTTCATATCTGTTACTATATATATCCTTTAGATATGCTTATCTTGGTCTTCCATGAAAGCTTCATAGGAAAGCCTGTCACCACATAAACAGAACCTGAAATAATATTTTCAACTTACTTGCACTAATAGAGGCTTCCATAAGATGCAAGTGTGTATTTTTATTTATAAGCTTTGGAAACAGAAATTAAGAGCAGAATACAAGCTTCTTACTCAGTCATTAGAGAAGCAGCAGCTCACTGTCTGTTAATTGATTAAATTAACTCTAATAAGGGGAATGTCATCAAAATTGGGCACATTAAAACTGACTTTGTCAACTTTGATATACGCTGAAATAAATCTCTATCCAAGTCATTTTCAGGCAAATAAACAATGTGTTGAACTCACTTCTGTTCTACCACTAAATGACAGCTCCCCCCCTGAAAATTCTAAGACCTACTAAAAGAAAAAAGTTTTATAGTTATGGAAGTATCAAAGCTCAAAGGGTTTAATTATATTTTTCAGAAAAACCAACACAGCAGTAATAAAGAATTGTGAAAAAACTGCATATCTATACATTTTGCCCTTGTTATATTTTGATCTACAACAATCTCCCTCTTCCTGCAGGAAATATTAACCATACTTTTTGCATAAGCATTTTTTTTAGAAATTAAGTTAATATTTCTTGTCAAGTACTAAGTAATATTTTGTATTATTTCCAGATATGGGACATGCTTTAATTACTTAACATTGTACTTCAAATAAGAAGAGTCCCTGATAATGAATACAGTAGTTTATGCTAATAAAAAATAAAAAGAAGGAAAATTTGCCATCAATGGTATTCATACATTTGTTTGTAAAATAATGAGAATTTCTCATTGCCATGCAACTGAATTCCATTTTTACTAATATATAATTCACTGCTGTTGGGCTAAACATTTTCATACATGGTCCAAAAGGACTTTGATATTCCCGTTATGTAACTACTTTACTTTATATAACTACTATTTTAAAGGGCTACTTTATATAATTGTCCCAACAAACTATGAGAATTTCTCACTAATAATATATAAAATTGAATTCCATGCTGTATCTAATGCCACAAATCCCTCATAACTTGCAGATATTGGGAAGTATTGTTAGTAGTCCTGCCCCAAAAACCAAACTTCTATGTTGTTATTGGACAACAATCTTCCATTTAATATTTAAGACACTGGTACCTTTAAATTATTGACTAATTCTGAAATAAGTCAATGAAATATGCAGTAAGATATACAAATAACTATTTGTCAATCAAAAAGCCTCATTCAAATTTCAGGTTAGCTCTTTCATAAATTACTTTCAAATGAGCTTATCCATATCAGGAGCTTATTTTATTATTTATTTTTTGCTCAAGAATAGTGGCAGATGTTTTATATCAGGCATTCCTAAACATGTCTAAAAAAATGTGTAAATCAGAGACAGAAATCTGTTTCCTTCCAAATGTTGAACTCCCAATATCCCTCCTCTCCCTTGTCAACTAATTCATACTATCTACACAACCCACAGAGTTACATTTTTAAATGACATAAATGACGTAGATGAGGAAAAGATAGCATGAATTTCTTTGGAATTCATGTTCATATGTCATGAGTACTTTAATAGTCACTGCCACAAAGAAATGGACTTGCAATTTTTCATGAAAACGCTGCCCTGCTAGGCTTGGCTACCTACAAAATGTTCATTCACCAGAAGGTAGCTGGTGAGATTAACTCTGCTATCGCATTTAGCTGACTAGATGGCCAGAATTAATTTTAAGAAGACAGAATGGCATGTTGTTATTGTTTTAGAACCAGATTTCCAGAAGGATGTAGTATTTTTAACATAGTTTTTAAAGTATTCCGTTTTTTTTTTAAAGAAAATCACTCATTAACTTGTTTGGGAATACCAACAGAATATCAATAATACAACTGAATTCAGCCACAACAGAAATATCACCTGACTTAATGCAGAACCTGGAAAATTACAGGAATCAAGAAAATCACAGGAATTATGCAAACATTATTTCCAATCTTTAAAAAGGGAGCAATTTCATGATTTGGAAGACTCCAATACTTACAGATAAATAAATGAACATATTAAAACAGAATACTTCTTAACAGAGAGAACATGTCCACACTATGGGTTTGCATAACATGAAAAACCATAAGCCAGGGGTCTTCAAACTTGACAGCTTTAAGACTTGTGGACTTCAACTCCCAGAATTCTTCCTCCACTCATGTTAGCTCAGGAATTCTGGGAGTTGAAGTCCACAAGTCTTAAACTTGCCAAGTTTGAAGACCCCTGCCATAAGCTATGGTTTACTAATAACTGTGGTAAATATTAATGGGACCCATTAATAAAATAGATACATAAGGAATGCAGCCTTGGAGAAGCTACCTCAAGCAAATTTTATCAGAAGATTCCCATGGTAACCCCTTGATATGTTTCTTTTCATTACAATTATTCTCTTTTTGGAGATATTAACAGTAGAAGGTTGGGAAGCAACCCAAGATCTATTACTTATGAATGTGTATGTTTACATCATCTATTATTTATGCATATATGTGCCTGCATCATTTTTCCTTCCTTTTTTGAATGTGTTAATATCAACGCATCTTTGTTTGCAGGTCTCTCACTATTTATTTGGTAGATATCCTCCAGCATGTACTATCTAATAAAGACTGGCTATGTTGACACATTGCATGAAACCATAATGTGTTTGGTTTTGTGAGCCTTGATTATTTGCTTTGTGTCCTCTGTTTTGATTCCAAACATAAATAACTGATTTACATAACATACTGTATTAAACAAAACCAAACACACATTATGGCTTCGTGCAATGTGTCAACATAGCTAGTTGCTCTAGATCAGATTTTAATTTACTAATTTTGGACAGGAACTATCTTTTGCACAAGATCACTCTCTCCACAGTAAAGGCATAAAATTATGTGTTATAAAATTATCCACAGTTTCTATGGATCAACGAATCAGCATGGTAGGTTTGAAGGCTAACTATGGACATGACTCTGCAGTCCCATTATGCCAAGGGCTTCCTAGCAGGTTCTGTCAGCAGCTGCAGGTTCTAGTTCCTTTGGCTGGATGCCACAATGGAGTAGGGTTTCTTCACAGCACTGACCTAAAGGTCTCTTCCCAGACTTCACTGCACTGTGTAGGGTAACTGGCAAGGCATATGAAGGTTATCCATTTTGATGACATGTCCTACTACTTTCATTTGGGCTTTGATAATCAGGGACTCCATGCTGGTGATATACCTCACCAGTTGCTGGCAAGCTGTATTATGAAGCTTCTCCATCAGTTTTAAAGGCAAGAGCTGCCAAAACCTGATATAAATCTGACCCAAAAGTACTTTTTTGAAGGGGCAACTGGACTTTCTTGTTTTTCTTTGAAGATGTTTCGCTTCTCATCCAAGAAGTTTCTTCAGCTCTGATGGGATAGTGGGGAATAGAAGGATTTATATTCCTTGCAGACAGCTGGACAAATAGAATGCAAATCCTTCCATTTCCCACCATCCAGTTAGAGCTGAAGGAGCTTCTTGGATGAGAAGTGAAACATCTTCAAAGAAAAACAAGAAAGTCCAGTTGCCTCTTGAAAAAAGCACCTTTGAGACAACTATGACCTGGATGACTGAGAATCTCTATAGACATTCTGATATAAAACTGTGAACAGCACTGCAGAATAACACCCACAGTTATCACAACAATGGAGTTTCAGTGCCTCCATTGTATTAGAATCTAGAGTAGGACTGCAGAGCCACCTCTGTGCTCACAGATGAACTGCACATCAGCATGTCTTCTTTAAATCTGAAAGACTATCATATATAAAAAGCCCTAACTGATCAAAACAGGATTCTAAAAGCATCCGAGTTACTTCTTTTGACATCAGAACAATTACCTCAAAATTATAAACTACATGTCAGGATTCCGGCAGTTACCCCAATTAAATCATGAGTCTCGAGCCAAACTTCCAAAAGTAAACAGATTTTATTGGGAGTTAACATGTCCAGCACTGTCTGGGTACAGCCGACTCTAAGACACATAATTCACTGTCACCCTTGACCCTGGTTTTCCCCTACCCCTATGGGTGTATCATAATTCATGTTCTCCAATGAAACACGTGCATAGCCAAGAGACATCAATCATGTTCTCCAGTTAGATTTTTGCATGGCAGAAACTTCAGTCACCTAGTTACTATCTCTGAAAAACTATTCATGGATTTCA